CCCCCCTAGAACAGCCATGTACGTTTAGTGAAAGTACTAGTACTATGAGTCTCAAGCTAGTTCAACTGCTAAGGTAATTACGATATAAAATGAACTTAATTCTCGGCTCTGTGATTGGTCGTTGCATAGAGGGCACTTGTTGTTCAGAATGACGTAATAGGAAAGTTAAACTTTTCCTCATTTGTGTGTTCATATCGTATTTCAAAGTAATTTCTGATCTATAACCAAATAGACAAATGGAAAAGAAGAAATGTTTTTGATGCTTTTATCTTCCTCTAGAGCTTACTTCCCTACATGACAAATCTTGTCATTACTTATCATTAATTAATTTGCACGAAAAAAGCATCTTGCGCTATTTGTAATTTTCCCCCATGTTACATGAAAAATGCACTAGTTTTCAGCCAATCAGAAGTGTGTATTCTTTCCAAGTACATTATTACAATAATAAATGAAAGAAAATGATAATGCACCAAACCAGTGTGGTTTCCCCTCCCCCATTAGTGTAAATTGTCCTGGGCAACACACAACCACAATGTGTAACTCTGTTATCAACACTACTTTCCCCAAAAGGATTGATATTGCATTACAGCTGATCATGAGCATCCAGGAAAACATTCTTGAAAAGTACAAGAGCAATTCTGATGTCACTCAAAGGGAAGATACTTGACTCCAATACCTAAAAAGATTTGTTGTAATAAGAGTGAGACTTAGTAACATACAATTTTTAAAATGCTACTCTAGTTTGACAGCTCAAATTCATGAATACAGCAAAGGAAACAAGCTAATGAAATGACGGACTCTTTTGGAAAAAGCCACACAAGAAAAGAGTCATATTCTTTCACCACATTTCTTTTTGAATCTTTATTTGGAAGAGAAAATTGCAAAATAAAGATTACTTAAGAGACATTAAGGTGACTATGAAATATTACCATTAAGTACAATGTAATGTATGGTGTACCACTAGCCTTCAGCTAGACATGTTCAGAATGTGTTGACTGAAGTACCTTACAATGACATGCAAACCCTGAAGTTCAAAGCTAACCTAACAATTGCACTTTTCCAATGAATAATGTCACAGACATCCAGAGTGAAAAAGATAAAATGGAGTGGAACAAGATTTTCAAGCATTTTGAACTTGATGAAATTGTCATCACATTTACTGAAAGGTCTGTAGCAAGGGTAATTGTAGCATAAAAAAGGGACCTTCTATGACAAGTCTTGAACACAACTGCTCATAAATTAATGAAATGTGACATAAATAATAACACTAAAGCACATTTTTCATTCTTTAAAGTTTATAATAAGCCCAATTAGTAATGCTACAGATCATAACATATTTAAATGAATAGTGTTAATCACATCACACTCCAGCATATTTCATAAACATGCCACATAAAATTTTCATTTTAAATAATACAGTATTTACACAGATAAAAAAGATACCATCTTAGTATCCACACAGTAGTTACAATGGAAAGTTACAATAGTAACCATAACATCTTGGT